GGAAGGCAGAGAAGGAAGCAATGAAGAAGAAAGAGATGAAACTAAGAAGTACTGGGTGTCTGCAACTGTGTCCCATTTAGTGCTAGCAAATGGTTCAGGGATCAAAGCAAGTTTGGGGGTGATCGGTAGCTCCATCATTCATCTGTAGCCAGATGGCCCTGTTCATCCTGGGTCCTTCCCACATTCCTGCCAGTGCCCAGAGATCAAAACTCAACCTTCTACAACATTCTGCAACCTGCTTCTTTAATGCTGGGATCAAAGGGGAACTTTCGTCCAAGTTGTAAAAGAGAAACCAAGAGCCTACGTCATGCTGTCTCTGCCTCCTCTGTACTTCCTGAGGGGATTAAAGGCACTCCTTTTAAGAGACTCCTCAGAGCAACACATTTGAACTAAGGACTGGGATCACCACCTCTGTTCCATGGATATAGCAGCCCCTTCAGAAACTGTGCCGGGGGCCGGGAGGGGGGGCAACTCAAGAGATTAGACAAGGTAACCATAACTAACAGCAGCTTGGAAAGATCAGGGACTATGACCACGGAAACAAAACAAAATCAATCTGACTTTATAGGCATATTGTTTAGTTTATTAGCAAAGGTAACTGAATGAACTTGGAACTCAGAAATCAAGTCCAAACCTTAATTTCAAACATGACATACATAGAAACAGACCTATAAAGGCCAGGCCTTTATTGCCCAGGGCCACAGAGTGGATCAATGGCAGTGCTGGGACTAAGTCCAGGCTGCCTAACTGTAGCACCAGTGCTTCTTCCTTAACAGGTTGATGCCCACCAGCAACTTCACACAAGCGCTAGTGTGGTGGCAGAGTCCAGTCCTCCTGCCTACCTCTTGTTGCATGCAAGACTCTACCATCCAGAATACAACACTAAAAACAGTTCCTGGGGGACCTCCCTGGTGGTGCAAGGGGTTAAGACGCAACCTATGAAGCTATCAGCAGCCAGTGTAGCACAAGTTCGATCCCCGGCCAGGGAGGTGACCCACATGGTGCAGCAGACCTCTCCTGTCTCACCTGCTGCTCCCCTCAGCAGTGTTTTCAGTCTATCTTCCTGTTCTGCTCCCTGCTCTGTCTCTGGTGGATTCTCTCACCCGCCGGCACCTCTGGACTGTGCCCAGTTCTTGTATAAATAAATAAATTAAAAAAAAAAAAAAACCAGTTCCTGGGCCATCAGCTCAGAGGAATCCTGAGGTCATTCAGTCCATTCCCAGGCCTCTGGACTGGATCAAAACCATGTAACTTCGAAAGAGTGTGATGTGACCCAATAATTCCAATCCTACTTATAGACTCAGGAAAACTGAAAATGTATGTTCACATAAAAACTTGTAGACTAATGTTTATAACAACATTATTCATAACAACTGAAATTGCAAACAATTCCAGTTTCATCAACTGATGAAATATTATTTGGCCACAAAAAGGAATGAGGTACAACAACATGGATGGACTTTGAAAGCATTAGGCCATGTAAAAAAAGCCAGATTTAAAACACCAGATATTATATGATTCCATTTATATGAATTATCCAGAACAGGCAAATCCATACAGACAGAAAGTAAATTAATGACTGACGGGAACTGGGGAGAGGGTAGAGTGGGAAGTGATTACTAATGGGTTTCTTTGTGTGGTGATGAAAATGTTCTGGAAGTTGTGATGGTTGCACAACTTGTGAATATGTTAACCACTACTGAACTGTACAATTCACAAGAGTGAATTTTATGGTATATGAATATTATGCAATAAAAAAGGGAAAAAGATAACAAAATCCAAAACAAAAGGAACAATAATATATGTGAAAGAAAAACTCATTCTTCAAACGGAAATTCTACATTGCTGAGATGTCTACAAATGCATTCAATGCACATTTCCCTAGTTCCAACAAAATAATATTCTCAAGAGCATACTCCATATGCTCAACATTTCCACAAAGAGACACAAGCCTACTCTCATTTCAAACCCAGCTAGATCAACTTCCTATTCTGTAACTTTATAGATTTATCTAAATGGAAAGCAGGAACACTAGAGGGAATTTGACACTGGCCATCTACTCCTTCAGTGACAGAAGTCCTGCCCAGGTTTGGGAAACACCCACTATTCCAACCCTTCAGGGAAGAAGAGTCATTCATCAAAGAAAGGCAGGGAGGGAAATGGCTAAGACACCACTTGAAACTTGTACCCACAACCCCAACTTTCAAAACAAAAGAACAAACCAAAAACCTAGCCTGTTCCCACGGTCACTGAATCCACTAGCTAAGTTCCTCTTCGGTTTCCTCAGAAACCCATATACCCCAAAGCAGCTCCACAAGCCTCCATCCCCAGTGGATGTGAAATACTCTGTGTGTACGGGGTATGGGACTGCTGTGACTTCTGAGTAATACACTGCTTGACACAGACCAACCTCAGTCTACCTGTGACCCTACTCTGCTATTACACATTCCCCCTGTAACAAACTAGCTTCCACCCCTTTTTGCTATTGTGTCAAACCTGAAGTTTCTCATGTGCACCCTTTAAACTGTATTCATCATGTAAGCACAGTACAACACTCCCAGGTGACAGGACAAAAATCACAGTGCTTAGAACAAAATCCAAACTCCTTTCCATGGCCTCTCTGTAGTCTGAGAACAAGCCAAACCTGTACTGTTCTGTCCTGGAGGTGGTGGGAAGGAAAAATACCCTAAGAGTATAGTCTCTTTCAAAATTCAGTACACAGACTATAAACTGTAACAGCGATCCACCCCTACTATAGGCATGCGCTTCTGGAAACACAGCTGCTCCTGCCTCTCTCTGATTTTATCCTTCTACTGTCCTCTTCCAACCCCACCCTTCACCCTGCATCAATTTCTCCAGTCTTCCAGGCTCATTCTCACCTTGGCCCTTTTCACTTGCCATTTCCTTTGCCTGGAACATTCTTCATCGGGTCTCAACTCAAGTCACCCTCTCTGGGATTTCTCTGAACACTTAATCCAGAGCCATTGCATTTTGGCCACTCCCAATCACTATCATCACCTCACCGCCCTCACAGGAATTACCACCATCTGACATTAGCATGTTCATTTATTTCCTTGTTCACTTCCTGTCTCATTAGACCAGAAAAGCTCCACATGATAAGGACCTTGACCCTCTAATTCACAATTACATCCCTAGGTCTTGGCATAGAGCAGGCACTCAAATATTTGTTGATTAAATAAATGTTTACCAGAAATATGTATTGCTAACTTATTACCTCTTAAAAACCTGTGACCAGCAAAGGAATTTTCCAGTGCAATTCTACAAATGCCATTTCACTGAACTTTTTCCCAATGGCAAGAGAAGATGTGACTTTTCCTATAAATTTTTATGCCATCCTTGTTTTGAATGTGGTTCAGGAAAAAAATAGGTTTTGGAAAACCAATTTTGGATCTTCTCCACTTACGGTTTAGACTGAAGTCTGAGGTCACCGAAACCAGGCAGGCTGTGACATTTTACCTGCCATCTGAGGTTCTAAATAAGAAATCACTCACTAACAAAAGGGATTAAGTTAGGTGATTGACAGGAGGGAAGCTGGTTATCAGCCAGTAATCTACCTGGTTTAGAGAAAAACACCACCAAAGAATTTAACAAGAATCTTCCTTTGCTAAAGTCAAATGTCACTTCCTTTTCTGCCTCCCTTGCATTCATTATCTGTTGTGGAAATAACACACAGGAACATCTAGGAAAATCACCCTGGACTAAAAATGACTTCAACTTTGATTCTTGTATCTCGACAAGCCAAATGTGAGCCAAGCTTCTGGAAAAAAAAAAAAAGTCAATTTTTCATAGATCTATTTCCAGGGTTCTGAACTAGGAGCCAACAATGTCTGACCCCCTTTCCAGGCACAGTTCTTTTACCTGCAGCCCTATCCACACACAGCCTTCATCCAAAGGAGCTCCAGCCTACATAATCTTTATCCCTAACTAGTTGTGTGGTGCTGTAAGGAAGGGAAGGGAGCCAGGAGGGGATAAAATATTGTTTTTCAGTAGTTCACAAACTACCCCCATCATAATCACTGGATTATGGGGGTTACAGGAGGCAGGGACCGAAGCAGAAATTGGAACTAGTGGAGGGGGTAGTTGAGATGGCTCCTCGAATCAGTGCCTTTCCCAAAACTTTAGGCCCTGACATGTTTGAGTGCAGGGCCAAGGGCCGGAGAGTGGCAGTTTGGGAGTAGAATCTACTCAGGGAGGTACGTCAGGCATGAACTAGGGGTCGCAGACGTGCTTATAAAAGGTGCATATCCCTGAGCATGGCCTGGCCCTAGGGAATTTTTAATATATCTCCCCCTATAATCCCCCCAATCTTATGCGCAGTAAAGATCAGGAACTAATGGGATAGCCGCTCCCCAAAAGAGAGGCAGGGAGTTGATGGAGAGACAAGAGAAACGGTTAGGCAAAGGTCTAGTGATGGAAGAGAGGAGGGAAGCGGTGAGGGCAGGCTCCAGGGTAACGACAGTCCAAAACTGTACGAGCATTTTGTCGAACAGCTGAGGTGGATGAGAGGACAGAGTTTCTGGAAAGGACCTGAAAGTGGGTTTGGGTTGGGAGGCTGCTTAGAGGTGAGGTCGCATCTGCGGACTGGTCAGGATACTAGGGAAGCGAAAAGAACAGGTTCTGGACGTGAGGAGGAGGAGCGAGGGTGGGAATAATGGGGAGTTCTGTGGAGGGATCTAGGCGGGGAAGTGAAAACGGGATCACAGGAGGCGGGTACCAAAGCAGGAATAGGAACCAGCGGTAACCTAAATCTTTCCTCCGAATCAGTGCCTCCCTCAAAGCTCCAGGCCTTGACAAGCCTACGTGAGGGGCCAAGGCTAGGGAGAGGGTGTCTGGGGGAGACGAGCCCAATCAGGGACGTTCCTCAAGCATGAGCTGAGGGCCCCAGAGGTGGCTCGGGCCAGGTATGGGGCACCGGAAGGTCCTAGGACACCCCGAAGAGCCCCGCTCCATCTCCGGTTCTCGGAGTCTCCTTCACTCACCATCGCCGCCGCCATCTTGGATCCACGTGTCGCCGTAATTACGTCAGCGGAAGTGGAGATTTCCTGGTTACGGAGTTTAACGCCGCGAGATTGTGCCCGGTTTCAATCGCTCTTATAGTCGCGGCCAGTGGAGCGCCAAAGAAGACTTAGCTCATAGCCAACACCTTGGTCTGGGCAGTCAGGTCGCTGATTAGGTGAAGAAAGAGAATGGTGTAACTACGGTAGCCATATTAGCTCCTGGCAGAGACAGCGCCTCCCCACATTCATCCCATTGCACTGTGGGAAATGGAGGGGGGTGGTGTATGTATAAATAAGGGCTTTCTCTGGGCGCCATGTTTACTAGTGGCAGAGAATCCCGTTGCCAGGGTTACCCGAGGTGCTGATTTGGGACAGTGGGCTCAGTACCAGGGCTCCAATGGCAGTTCTAATCCAAAAAATAACTTCTATTGTTTTCTTGACTATCCTGTAGCCTCTCCAATATACTGCAATTACCGTGAGGGTAGAATCCTGACTTTTATTTAACTTCGCTCTACCTCATTCTTATCTGTGAGACTACAAGAGGATTACTATAATACTTGGGTCCCAACCTTATGATGAGGTTCCAGTGACTTAATGTCACATAGTATGTAGTCAATAAATAATTGTCATTATATGCTTATGTATATTCCATTGTGTATATGGTGGGTGTCCAATATAACAATTTATTAAATGAGTGAATGAAAAGTAGAATAGAATGAATGAAAAGTAGAAAAATTGAATGAATGAGAAATAGAAATGTATAATGAAAATGGGAAAGTATAATAGTGGAGGGAAACTTACTTGAATATGGACTTTCCTATGTGCTAGTTAGCTGTCTGTGACTTGAGGCAAGTCACTCAATCTTCTTAAGCCTTAGTTTTTGGTACCTGGAAAAGGGGACTCAAAGATACATGGTGTTCATTTAGTCTTCATATCACTGTAAAGTGCTATCTGCAACCATTTGTTAAAAGAAAAATAATGATTAATAATAATCATCGTCACTTACTGAACATTTTCTGCGTGCTGCAACATTTCACATTTTGCTAAACCTCCTGAGTCTCCCTAATCTAATTCTATCTCCTGGCAGGGGGCAGTTGAGTTCTGATCCCCACCTGTGAGTAACACTGTAGTGGATTATCTGCAAAGATAACTGCCTTCTGTTGGGAATACTCTTAACATTTTGTGCTTTAGCCCCTTCTTTTATGTTCATATCTCAGTTCAGTGGTTACCTCCTCACAGAAGTACTCCCTGACTGGATGTATACAAACACATAGTACCCCACTTATGATGGATCACTTTAGGATTTTTTGACTTTATGATGGTGTGAAAGCAGTACACTGCACATTCAGTAAAAATCACACTTTGAATTTTGATCTTTTCTCAGACTAGTAGTACATGTAGGATTCACTCTGATGATGCCAGGCAGGGCCAGCAACACAACTTGACCTAGCTACATGATCACCAGGGTAAATAACCAATATCTTACAGATTTTTTTCACTTTCAGTATGGTTTCAACAACTTACATGAGATACTCAACACTTTATTATAAAATAAGCTTTGTGTTAGATGATTTTGCCCAACTTAGGCTAGGCTAATGTAACTGTTCTGAGCATGTTTAAGGTGGAATAGGCTGAGCTATGCGATTTGGTAGGTTAAGTCTATAAAATCACTTTCAAATTAAAGGTATTTTCAACTTACAATGGATTTATAGGGATGTAATCACATTGCAAATTGAAGATGATCTGTATAATTTCATTATTTGTTATTGTCCATCACCTACGAAGTCCTGGACTAGATCTGTGTTGTTCCCAACTGTATCCCTCCTAAGGGTGCATTCAAAAAATATATTCATTATGAATTAACCTAAGCCTCACTTTATCAGTTAGGAATTGCTCCAACTGCAAGGAAGAACCCCACCCTTAACCCCTCCCATAACAATGGCTTTGCAAGCTAGAAGCTTACTTACCTCTCCTAGTTTGGGTTCCCCCAAATGCAGTTTGGTTGGTATTTTCAAATTGACGAGAGTGGGAATATTTACACCACAAAAATATCAGGGTTTGCATTTTTTTGTTCTGTTCACAAGGTTTTCTGTAAAGGGCCAGACAGTATTTTAGGCTTTGCAGACCATGTGATTGTGTCACAACTACTCAACTCTGCCTCAGTAATGCATATACACAGTTACAGATGATAGAAAGTGGGCCTGGCTGTGTTCCAACAAAATGAACTTTGCCATAGTTTGCTAAACCCTGGTTTAGGCTTAAAATAATGGAAAAAAGTCAGTAATGCAGTTAATGCTGTGCCTGTTGCTGTTACATTGTGATTAGCACAACTGTGACAGTATTTTAAACTCCTACCTATTCCATAGCAAGGAAGTTGCTCATATCACGGATTAACAAGTGAAGTTCCAATATATGTGTTCATGATTTCACTTTATTTTCATTGGACTCATGAATATAAATGAGACTATCAACCCACATTCGTGTCAGAATTATACTTGGAGAGAGTGTGTTGCCGAGTAAGTCAGCACTGTGGGTAACTTAAGCTTAATCCTGTGGGGAAACTATGGAAAACAATGCAAAATACACACCCAAGAGGCAAGGGAGCTGGGGTATTTATACACTGAATCCCCAAAGTCATTAGTTGAGGATTGATCCCAGAAGGCGTTAATTCCTTAGCTCTTAGATCTTCTGGGAACACTGGAAGCTGAGGCCCTCAGCAGTTTTAGGAAAATAGCCCTCAGGTGCAGTGATACAGATAAAAGCAGCTAAAAGTTCAGCCCACTTTAAGGAATATTGATGATGCATACTGAGCCCTGAAATCTGTCTTAACTGATGGTGGCTGTTCCTAAAATATTTCCAAAGACCCCACATTAATCATCATATAAGGAAGGATCCTGTACTTTTATTTCCAACCAATTGATCAGAACTTCATCACATGTCCATACTTTGCTGCCAGAGGGAGTGGGAAGTGTAACCTTCACTCTGAGTAGTCACATGTCCATGATAAATATTCTGTTTCTCTAGAAGGGGCAACATGGATATGGGGACAACTAGCAGTCATTGCCAACCCTCAAAAGGGTAGGGGTGCAAATGGAATGCAACCTGATACAGTTTTATGTCAGGGCATATTGTGACAAAATTGAGGGTAGGGGAATAAGGAGGCAGTTTTCTAAATCACAAAGAAGAAGTGAAACAATGTTTTTCTTGTATTTAAACTCAAACCCACAGATAGGGACTAGAGGGAAGCAAGTCATTAACTTCTTACAACAGAGCATCTTCCCTATGCCTTTCTTTGCCACCTTCCAGGGAAAGAATGCATGCAGCTTTTCCATAGAATTGCTGGTACAATGTCCCGTGTTTTTGTTTTTCATTTAATAGACTTCATGTTTTAGAGCACTTTCAAATTTATAGAAAAATGAGTGGAAAGTTCTCAGATACCTCCTCATCCAGCTCCCACTTTCCCCTATTAACATCTTGCTGTGGTGTGGTAAACATGTTGCAATTGATGAGCCTACATTGACATGTTATCATTAACCTAAATCCATAGTTACATTAGGATTTGCTCTTTGTGTTGTACATTCTATCTTCTATAGAGATATATATCCACCTTGGAAAGTATCACAGAGAATAATAGTTCCATTGCCCTGAAAATCGCCATCTATTTATCCCTCTCTTTCTCCCCTCCAAACCCCAGTTACCACTGGTCTTTTTCTGTCTGTTTAATTTTGCCTTTAACAGAATGCTTATGTAGCTTGAATCATACAGTATGTAGCTTTTTCAGATTGACTTTTACTCAGTGGTATGTTTTTTAAGGGTCTAAAGTTTTAAGGTTCTTCCATATCTTGATAGCTCATTTCTTTCTTTTTTTAAAAAAAAGATTTATTTATTTTTATGCATACAAGAGCTGGGGTACAAGCCAGAGGTGCGGGGGGGGTGGTGAGAGGATTCACCAGAGACAGAGTGGGGAGCAGACAGGCAGACTGACTGAAATACACTGCTGAGGGGAGCAGTGGGCAAGACAGGAGAGCTCTGCTGCGCCATGTGGGTTGCTCCCTGGCCAGCTGGGGATTGAACTCGTGCTGCAGAAGCTGAGGGTTGCTTTATAGTGCTGTGCTTAACCCCTTGCGCCACCATGGAGGCCCCTTAATAGCTCATTTCTTTTTATCATAAACAAAATTCCATTATATGGATATATCACAGTTCATTCACTTTCTGAAATTTGCTTTCAACTTTCGACAATTATAAATAAAGTGGTTATAAACATTAGTGTGTAGGTTTTTGTGTGGACATAGGCTTTCGACTCATTTGAGTAAATACCAAGGAGTGCCATGGCTGGAAGTATGGCAAGAGTGTGTTTAGTTTTGTAAGAAACTGCCAAGTGTCCTCCAAAGTGGCATCACCATTTTGTCTTCACACCAGCAATGGATGAACATTCTTGTTGCTGCACATCCTTGTCAGAATTTGGAGTTGTTGGGATTCTGGATTTTAGCCATTCTAATAGGTGTGAGGTGGTAACTCATTGTTTTAATTTGTATTTCTCTATTGACACATGATGGTGGGCATCTTTTCATAAGTTTATCTGATACCTGCACATCTCCTCCTTCTGTGAGGTATCTGTTTGGGTCTTTCCCCCAATTTTAAATTGGGTTGTTTTCTTATTGTTGAATTTTAAGAGTTCATTGTATATATTGGATATCAGTCCTTGCAAATATTTTCTCCTAAATCACATCTTGTCTTTCATTTTCTTAACAGTATCTTTATCAGAGCAGAGTTTTAAATTTTAATGAAATCTAGTTTGTACATTTTGGGGGGTCATGGTTCATGCTTGTGGTGTTTGTTATACCTTTCCCCGTGTTTTTCTGAAGTTTGTGAAGATATTACCTTACATGGTCAAAAGGATTTTGCAGGTGTGATTAAGAATCTTGAGATGGAAAGGTTAGTCTGGATTATCCTGGTGGGTCCAAAGTAATTACAGTAGTCCTTACAGGGAGAGAGGGAAGCAAGAGACTGGAAGTCAGGAAGATGTGGTTATGGAAGCAGAGTCTAGAGCGAAGAGTAGAAAGGAACCACTAGTCAAGGAACAAGCAGTCTCTGGAAGCTGAAGAGGCATGATTCTCCCCTTGAGCTTCCAGAAGGTGTGTAGCCCTGCCAACCCAGTTCAGACTTCTTACCTCTGGAACTTCGAGCTAACAATTTTGGCCTATTTTAAGCCAACAAGTTTGTGGCAATTTGTTACAGTAGCAACAGAACAATAATACAGCCTGCAACAATTTTTGGCAGTTAGAAACTCCTAACATTGAATCTCACTCCTCTGGGAGTGTCCTTTCCCCTTTTGGTATTATCTTACAGCAAAAAGGCAAACAGATATTTAGGAACTGGCTGGACAAAAAAAGCTAATCTGTCAGTGAAGCAGTGGGGTACCGTCCAGGGTGAGGCAATTCACCAGAGAGTGGGGAGCAGAACAGGCAGATGTACCAAAATACACTGCTGAGGGGAACAGCGGGCAAGACAGGAGAGGTCTGCTGCACCATGTGGGTTGCTCCCCAGCTGGCTAGGGATCAAACTCACGCAGCAAAGGCTGCGGATAGCCTCACAAGCACTGCGCTCAATCCCCTGTGCCATCAGGGAGGCCCAGCATTAGTACCTTTTATTTAAATATTTATTTCATTAATTTTAAAGTGCCCCATCCAAACCACAGATATAACTAGAATCCAACTGTCCCAGGAAATAGAAATATCAACTCAGGGGTTCTCCTGAGAATGGCAGATTGTAGATTGCTAGATTCAAAAAGAGATTGTCCAGTCCACCCCGCCCACTTGACAGATGAGGGCTGTGGTTAGAATGAGGGCAGATGCTGCAGAGTTGGAAGGGTGGGTAGGGACTTGGCAGCCAGTCCTGGAGTCACAGGCACAGCCTTGGAGCCTGGCCCTGCCCTGGTCCTGCCCATCATGGCTGCTGCTGGTACTGGCTCTCGGTGGCTGTGTAGAAGTCTTCCAGCACACTCTGGATATATTCGAAGGTGGGCCGCTCCTCAGGGCGGTTCTTCCAGCAGCGAGTCATGATGTTGTAGAGCTCCTCTGGGCAGTGCTCTGGTCGAGGCATCCGGTATCCACGCTCCAGAGATCGGATCACCTCCGGGTTTGACATCCCTAAGAACGAGCCATGCAATTAAAAGGGGAAGAGTTGGGATAGCAGCTCCGGAGTGCGGGTGGGGGGCGGGGGCGGTAGACACTGCAGCCTCCCCAGTGGTCTTCACTCCTCACCTACCTGTAGGAGGTGTGCCTGTCCTGCTGTGAAAGTACAACTTCCCTTCCCACCCTCCCTTGCAGCTGTGGCAGGGACACACTTCCTAGTTTGGGCCTCGGGAGCTGAGGGGGAGTCCCCTGGGAGACTTCCAGGAAAGGCTTTCCTCCCTGATAAGAAAAGAGGTGTGGGGGCCACACCCTTCCTCCTTCCTTTGGACACTATGAGACAATGTGATTGTTGGAGCAGCAGCAGCCATTTCACCACATGAGGAAGACAGTCACAGAGAAAGTCCTGAGAGTGGTTGAGCTAATTAACCAGGCACCAACGCCAGACTCCTTGTTATTGGCTATTGTTCTGGCCTTTCTTAGTCTGTCATTTTGTTACTTGCAGTCTAGTATATCCTGATGGATACAGAGCTCCAGAATCCATTGCCTGGCTTTTACTGGTGTACCCAGTGTTGATGTCACCTTATGAGTGGGACCACTATTCAATTTAAGTTTATGTTAATTATCCTTTAAAAGAGCTGTTTACATGATTATGATGATCCCCAGATTTATATTACCAACCTTGAACTCCAAGTTCAACTATTCAAGGACTTCCTTGAACATCTTAACTTGTTTGCTTACAAATCACCTTAGGAATGTAACAAGGCTGAAACAGAGCTCTTGAATTTTTACCCCCAGACCATTACCCACCCAGTTGCTCAATGAAAACCAGGAGAATTATCCTGGATTCTTCTCTGTCCATCACCAGCCACACCCTTTCTTCCTTTGAAATGTATAATCAACCCATTAACTGATCTCTAGTGCCATCTCTGCCTGTGACTCTGAGGGCTGCCACACCTACCTGCTTGTGATCTGTTCTGCACTCTACACTTAACCAAACAAAGCATCACTTAAAGATGGAATCAGGTGATGCCACTTCTTTGCCCAGAACCTCCAAGGGCTTCCGTACACTTAGATTAGACTCATTCTTTCCACCAACCTCACTATCTACCACCTGCTCTCATTCCTGGTCCCAGCTCCCTGACTTCCTTGCTATTCTCCATGCATACTCAGGCCCTAGAACCAGCAGTGTCTTCTGCCTGGAATGCTTTCTCTAGATCCTTTCTCAGCTTTCCTTCAGCTCAAATATGATCTGCTCTGACAGGTACTTCCTGTCTACAGAAACCCAACACCACCCCCTTCTCCCACACCACTGCCTCATGTTCTTCTCAACTTGATCTCCATCTGAGAGGGTGTGTCTGTTCAGGGCGTGTCCCTCCAGGCTGGAACCTCAACTCCTCACAAGCAGGAATGTTGTCTCTCAATGTTATCTTCAGTTCTAAATACATGGTAGGAATTCAATAAATACTGTTAAATGAACTAAGCATCTATATCACCTTACTTCTAATTTTCACAACCATCCACACAAGGTAGATACCATTACTTAAATTTTTTATAGGTGAAGACACTGGGATAGGAGAAGAAAACTCACTTAGAATTCAATTTCAGGACAGTTTTTGTAAAATGTCAGGGACTCTTTATATACACCTTACCCTTTCACCCCTGTGCTTTGGTTCAGACATCCCAGGAGACCTCCCAACCGAAAAGGAACTGAGAACAACAGTATTTACTGAGTCCCAGGCAATCAACATGTTGGGTATGTTTTTGTAGAATGGTATGGTCCATGGGTATAGCATGCTGTCCACAGGCAGCAGGATTTATCCAGGAATGCATACATTTATCCATCAACAAAAAGTTACTAAGTACCCACGATATGCCAAGCATAGAGGCAGGCAGTGAAGATACATCTGTGGGGAAGGCAGACATCATTTCTAGTCTGATGGGGAAAATATAGAACAAACATACAGTTACCAACTGTGATGGATGCTGTGACTGAAACAGCTCAGGGCACTATGAGACAGTCACCAGAGAGATGTGTGGTGCTTTAGAAGGCTGGGAGGTGGGGTGCAGTGGGAGATAAAGCTGGAGAACGAGGGAAGGATTGGGTCATGCAGGATTTACAGGCCATAATTAGGAGTTTGGGATTTTGTCCTAGTTATAGTGGAAAACAGAGAAGGGATGGGATCTGGTTCACAATTATAGAAAAAATTTTCTGGCTGTTAGTGGAGAATGGTCTACAGGAGAGTGGGGAGGAAGCTGGGAGCTGGCTAGGAGGCCTCTGCACCACTGAGCTGAGAGGTGACATTGGCAGAAGCTGTGGGGTTATAGGCGGGCAGACTTGAGATCTGTTTTGGAGTCAAATGGCTAGAACCTTGTTGGACATAGTCAGTAAGAGACAGAAGAGGAAGGACCAAGGAAACCTGAGATTTCAGACTGAAGAAATTTGGAGAGGGTAGTAGTGCCCTTACTAAGAGGCGAGAGTGAAGGGGAGGTTGGGGGTGAGGATCAAGAACTCAATCCAAATGGAAACACTCATAAGAGAAGGGAATCAGGCTGGGCCCTGGAAGCAGCCCAAGCTCGTGTCACTTCCCTACCTGGGTAAGGGATCCGGCCGTAGGTGACAATCTCCATGAGCAGGATACCAAAGGACCAGACATCTGACTTGATGGTGAAGGAGCCAAAGTTGATGGCTTCTGGAGCTGTCCACTTGATGGGGAACTTGGCCCCTGTGAGGTTGGACAGAGGGGGGGTCAGTGAGAGCCTGGCAAGCAGCAGGGCTGGGAACATGACCTGCTCCCAGCAGAGCTGCGATTTTCCTCAATTTGGCCTCCATGGATGCAGGTAACACTATCCTGAAGACAGGGAGCTCTGGGGTGTGGCAGGAGAGGTGACTCTCTGGGGCCACCTTGTTAATTCAACTGATACCTTGGTGAACCACACATTCTCGAGCAAAAACCTAGAGGTCACAGAATCTATGGGGACAGGAGGATACTGGGGGCCTTGGAATTGATACTTTAGCCCCTTACCCCTGGTAAGGGTGGGGAGGAAGATTTTGGCTCTTGACCCCTGAGGTGTCCAGCACTCACTGGATGTCTCCCCACCTATTCCTCCCCTCCTTGGTCTGGGAGGAGCTTAGTTAACTCAGGTCAGTGATTCCTGTCTTATTTCCACTGGGGTTGATGAGTGTGGTCTCCAGGACACATGTTCTTTGGAGTGTGGTGAGACCTGTTTATCACTGAGAACGTAGTCCAGTTTTCCAAATGCTCTATGTGATTCCCCCATCCCATCCATCTTTGGGATTGAGAGTATTTTCTTTATTCCTGCTTATCCTCTCCTGGCATAGACATCATACATTCTACTACTGTTCTTCCAGTGCTTACCCTCAGTTTGGATTCTTTATTATTGCATCATAATAAATACGAAATTAAGAGCACAAATCTTTCGGATACAATATGGCACATTTTCTACATGTATGTGCCTATGAAATCACCCCTCAGGTCAGAATAGGTCAGTATCTCACAAGGCTCACCCTTCCCCTAGTCAATACCTGCCATCCTGACCTCTGTTGCTAGAAATGATTTTTGCCTATTTTTTTCTTTAGAACTTGTATTGAGATAGATTCACAGACCATATAATTCAACCATTTTAAAGTGTATAATTCTGTGATTTTCAGTCTATTCAAAAGTCATGAATTTTAGTTTCTCCTCACTCCTCCCCAAAACCCCACAGCAGTCACTCTCCATTTCTCTCCACCACCCTTCTCTATCCCTACACAACCATTCATCTCTTTTCTGCCTATGGATCCACTTGCACTAGACATTTCACATAAATGCAGCTATACAGTGTGTGGTCTTTGTGGCTGGCTTCTTTCACTTCACATGGTGTTTTAAAGTTCACCCGTGTTTGGCACGCATCAGTGCTTCCTTCCTTTTTTATGGCTGAACAAATTGCACGGTATGGACATATCACCTTTTGTTTATCTGTCACTTGTGGACATTTTGGCTGTTATGAATAAGGCTGCTACAAATATCGCATATGAGTTCGCCTGTTTCTGAATCTTAGTTAAATGCAACCATCCAGCATGTGCTTTTGGGGGTGTGATTCCTTCCCTTTTGATATTAAACCTCTGAAATCATCCATCTCGTAGTACATAGCATTGGTTTGTAACTTCCCATGGCTACATAATGTTCTAGTCTGCTAGTATACCATCATTTATATACCTATTCTACTATTTGTGGACATGTGGACTCTCCCTGTTTTTTTTTCTTTTACACAGAGTTGCTCTTATACTTAATTTCAACGTGTACTTGCATAACTCAATCTTATCGACCAGAGCCCCCAGATGAGACTCTGGAAGCCAGAGCTCTATATCCAGAAGGATTTCATTAAGCTAAATAACACACAACCCATACCGGGACAGACCTTTATATTTTACCAATCACTTTCACAAGTGTAACTCTCAGGACTTGAGGGGCGGCAGGGGCCCCTGGGCACTCCCTACCTTCCCGCGCTGTGTACTCATTGTCCTCAATGATCCGCGCCAGGCCGAAGTCGGCAATCTTGCACACCAGGGATCCAGAGACCAAGATGTTGGCAGCTCGGAGGTCTCGGTGGATGTAGTTCCTCCTCTCAATGAAGGCCATTCCTTCTGCAATCTTCACCCAAAACAAAGACACTCACACCCCTCTCCTTTTCTGGGGACAACTTAGGCTCATGTCTTACTCTGCTGTATCTCTTACACCATCGTCACCTCCAAAACTTCATCTTCAAGCCCAGGTAGGGAAAATTCATTTTTTCATTCAGACCTGGCCCAGCCCAAGGTGGGCCTCACTCAAAAGCCAAAGAGGAGCATCCAAGTACGAAAAGTGGGAAAATACGTGCACCGGCTCCCTCTCTTTTTTTTTTTTTTTTTTTTTTTTTAAGATTTATTTATTTATTTATACAAGCACTGGGTACAGTCAAAAGCACGGGAGGGTGAGAGAATTCACCAGAGCCAGAGCGGGGAGCAGAGCAGGCAGAAGGACCGAAGGACACTGCTGAGGGGAGCAGCGGGCGGCGAAGGACACTGCTGAGGGGAGCAGCGGGCGGCAGGAGAGGTCTGCGCGCCATGCGGGTCCCTCTTCCAGTGGCCAGGGAGCAGCCGGGGATCGAACTAGCGCTGCAAAGGCCGCGGGCAGCTTCGCAACCCAGTGCTCAACCACTGCGCCACCGGGGAGGCCCAGCTCCCTCTTTTTTGTTGAGAGGGTGCCAGGCTCAGGTTGGTATATCTCTGTCTGTCCATGAAGGCTAGGGGGATCCTCAGGACCTGGGCCAATTTGGGGTCTTCTCTAGAGTTTTGACACTTGCAGGGAACACTCTGAGGACTAAGCAAAAGTATTATTTCTCTAGGACACTCACACCCCTCTCCTTTTCTGGGGACAACTTAGGCTCATGTCTTACTCTGCTGTATCTCTTACACCATCGTCACCTCCAAAACTTCATCTTCAAGCCCAGGTAGGGAAAATTCATTTTTTCATTCAGCAAATATCTACTGAGAGCCTTGTAGACACCAGATATGCTACTTGAACAGGTGGTAAGTTAAGTAAAATTCCTGCAGGTGGTAGTAAGAACCACAGAGAAAGGATAAAGCAAGGTAACAGGATTGTTTTGGATTAGGTGGTCAGGGAAACCTACTTTGAGGTGACATTTTAGCAAAGATCTCAATGATGTAATAAGTGTGTCAAATGAGAGCATCCTGGCAGGCAGCCTACTAGGTGCAAAGACCTGGGGGTAGGCCTGAACTCAGGTTTTCGTGGACCAGCAGAGACCAGGGTGGCCGAACAGATGCTGTCATAGGGAGAGCACAGGGAACTGAGGCTGAGAGGGAGGCAACTGATGATTAAGAAGCTTGTAAGTTCAGAGAGGAGGATGGATTGTATGCTGAGCACGATGAGAAAATAGGGGCTTTGAGCAGGGATGTGACAGGGCCTGGTGTGTATTTTACTGTCATCATGGCTGCTGAGTGAATAATAAATAGACTGCGGAGGACTGGTATTCATAATGGGGCAGCCTCTGATGGAGAGATGTGGGTTTCCTTAGAGACAGTCTTACTTACAAGGGTTTGTGCAAAAGAGGTTTAAGATGAACCCTCAGGCACGAGAAAGCAGCATTATCATTTAAAAACTGGCCTTGGAGCTGCTTGAGGCAGGCGTTGTCATAACCTGTTTTACTGAGAATAGACCCTTGTTCCAGATCACATCACCTGGAAAATTCTGAATGTTGGACTCAAGCCAGGTGGGTTTCTAATCCCAGTGTCCAAGCTGCCTCTCATTACCCAGAATGACAGTGTGCTGGAGGACTGCAGCTGAATGCAATCTGGTGAGATTAGATGGGGACTGAGGGGTCTGCCCATACAGACAACTGAGTCCACCAAGCAGCTCAAGGTCTAGGCAAGAGGGTGCTGCACTAGCAGTAAATGGCCAGCAGGGGGCACTCGTGGCTGTTGAATCAGAGGTTTCAGGCTCCAAGCTTTCCAACAAAACCTTGAGACTTCATGATTTTGTTTGGGGTAGCTGACAGAGGGTGGGTAAGGCAGAAAGTCTTGGCATGGGGGGTGTGGGAAATTCATAAGGACGGGCCATTATGTTCATAGCAGCTTGTAGCTTATTTATTCTGTATGAGATACTCAACAAGCTTAAACAGCATTTGTTTACTTGAATAGCTTTCTATTTGGCAGAGAGCAGGCACTAAAGCTGCTGGTTACCATCTCCTAGTACTTGCCGGCAGACACACATGCGCACTTATTGCACAGGAGCAATGTGCAATAGGGCAGTTGTATGGACCCTTGTTAGACAGTAATGCAGAATGGCTCGGGGTAGCCCCAGTGCTGTGATCTCAAGCAATCTCCTTCATCCCTCTGGCCTCACTTTTCTTCTCTATAAAAGGGGAACAACTGGCCCTCCTTCCAAGGGGTCATATGAGGATTAATCTTTTAAGCCTACAATCAGGGTTTAGAACAGTGTCTGGCCTAAGTATTCACTTCAATGGTGGTTATTAACACTCCTGTGGAGGAAAGTGGCCCTCAGAATGGACAGCAACTAGCTCAGAGCTCACACACAGCAGAGCTGGCATCAAAACTAAAACTCCATGTGACTCCCAAGCCCACAGGCTTACAAGGCATCGCTCTCAAGTTCTTGACAGCTGAGGGAATAAGGGATAAACTCACTAGGCTCAGCGTTGTTCTAAAAATTGGGGGTTGATGAAGTGGTGAGTTTTCATGACCGTCAAGTGGGCTACCAGGATGGATGTTGGGCATTGGGTTTGGATTTGCTTCTGAGAGTATCAGGGAATCACAGATTCAGAGCTAGAAGGCCTGTTGGGAGATCCCAGGCCCCAGCTCTTCAAACTGAAGCCTACTCAGACCTCAAGGTGAAAGTGAGTAGCAAAAGGGAGATCACATAGGGCTCCCCTCAGTTAGAGCAGCTCTGTTTTGACCTATTTAAAAATATTCTGCTGCTACATAATATTCATTTGATCACCAGTTAGGGCTTAAAAAAAATGGTTCTCGAACTTAAAAATTACAGACAGGGCGTCCCCGGTGGTGCAGCGGTTGAGCGCTAGATTGCGAAGCTGCCCGCAGCCTCTGCGGCGCCGGTTCGATCCCCGGCTGCTCCCCGGCTACCAGAGGAGGGTCCCACATGGCGCACAGACCTCTCCTGCCGCCCGCTGCTCCCCTCAGCAGTGTCCTTCAGTCCTTCTGCCTGCTCTGCTCCCCACTCTGGCTCTGGTGAATTCTCTCACCCTCCTGCGCTTCTGATTGTACCCAGTGCATGTATAAACAAAACAAACAAACAAACAAACAAATAAATAAATAAAAACATGCCTCTATAAAATAAATAAATAAATAAAATTAAAAAAAAAATTACAGACATGGTCTAATTCCTTCAGCCTTCATGACAGAAGAGACAGAGACCCAGAGTGGGGCTGAAGCCATAGTTAGTCACTGGTGGAGCTGGGACACCCTCCCACTGCACCAACCGGCCTCTCTGGGAATGGAGGGGAAGCCCAGGCCCCCAAGTTGGCTCCGTCCTGTGCCTAGAATCTGAGTCTGCCTCTGCTCCTGGATACACAGGGCCTGGCACCTCTTTCCCATCTGTGAAATGGGGAGAATGGCTGTTTGCTCCAGTGTGTGACTCTCAGCCGAGCAAAGTTTCTGCCAGTTTGATGGTTGAACTTAGCTACAGGCCCGGCCATTGTTTCCCCAAGGAACAGGGTCCATTGATTTCCATATACCTTTAGCACTGTAGGCTCAGAAAAATAGAGGTTTTTATTGTACCTCTGCCTTCCACCCCCAGGATTTGCATACTCAAATAAGCTCTGCCTTTGGCATCTACAGTAGGCCTAGCCCTAGGCCCAGGGCAGACAGAGATCCCTTAACCATACCCCCTTCTTCCTTACTGGCCACTTAGCACCTGCTGACCAGACACAGTTCTTTAGTTTCCCCCTTTTGGCACAGGCTATTTCTTTGATCTAGAAAACCCATCCTCTTCATTTGCCGAACTTCTGCTTATCTTCAGGGCTCAGCATAGAGATCACTTCCTCTGGGAAGTGTTCTCTGATTGCTCCTGGACCAGGCTAACTGCCCTAGCTATACACTCCCATAGCACCCTGTCCTTCCCTGGAGAGGGTGAGGGAAGACAGATGTAAAAAGCACTCAGACTGGGAGTCAGAGGAGATTCAGAAGAGGGAAGATGAGAATAAAAATGGGATTTTAAGAAGTGTTTCTGTGACTTGTGTATGTCATTTACTTTACTGGATGCTGCATTCTTTTGACGCTGAGTCAGAGCCACTTGGGTCACAAATCTCTAACAGATTCAGTTGTTAAACATCTGTCATCCCATGAAGAACAGCAGTATTTTCCATTTTGCTGTATTCCCCTAAACTAGCACGGTTGCTGAGACAAGCTACTGAGCCTTGCTGGGTCTGTTTCCTCATCTGTACTTAGTTTTTCTATGCCTCAAATTCCTCTATAAAATCTGATGACAATGATCTACCTGTGACAGCAGGTCACACCTACTGGGATTCAGGCCCTTGCGCAGTCCCCACCTACACTGACTCTGGGCTAGGTCAGGTGACTTGCCTTGGCCTGTGGGACATTAGCAAGCAGAGGCCTCCTAATTTCTCGGCCTGTAGGGCTTGGTCCCTCTTATCCCCAAGCTGTAAAGAAGCTCAGTTGGTTTATTGAGCATGACAGGCCACACGGGGAGAGACTCCAGAGGATGAGCCACCATCTAGGACAGTCTAGCTTCTGGCAAGCTCTCAACAGGACGCAACCACCTAAGTAACTCATTTTCACCAGGTGAAGCAGAAGGACCACCCAGCCAACCCCAGTCAACTTACAGAATCATAAGAGATAATAAATTGTTCATTCAAGCCACCAAGCTTTGGGGTGGTTTGTTACATAAGAATAAATAACAAAGATCCGCTCTGTGAGGCTGACGTGAGGACTAATGAGTCAGCACACGTGAGGTCATACAAAGACTACACTTTTAGGGCCTCCCTGGTGGCGCAGAGGTTGAGCGCTGGGTTGCGTAGCTGCCTGCAGTCTCTGCGGCGCCAGTTTGATCCCCGGCTGCTCCCTGGCCACCGGAGGAGGATCCCACATGGCGCAGACCTCTCCTGCCGCCCGCTGCTCCCCTCAGCAGTGTACTTCGGTCCCTCTGCCTGCTCTGCTCCCCGCTCTGGTTCTGGTGAATTCTCTCACCCTCCCGCGCTTCTGATTATACCCAGTGCTTGTATAAATAAATAAATAAATAAATCTTTTTTTTTTTTTTTTTTTTTTTTAAAAAAAAGACTGCACTTTTATACTGAGTAGTTAGTAAACGTTAGCCATTGTCATGAGGAGAGCAAGTGGCCAATAAATTCGTGTTGGATAAATAACTGAATTCCTTGGCCCTGCTCCCAACCTCCCCACTAGACTCTCACCTGGGCTGAGAAGTCGATGAGCTTGGGCAAGGGCTGCTTGCTGCCTTCTTCGCTTTTCAGAAAGTCCAGCAGGCTTCCTGTGGGAGGGGGAGGGGCCACATGGATTTCTCTCGTTTCTTAAGAACAGGGTTTTTGCGGTAATGGATTTAAATAAAAATGTTTACTTACTACTCTGGGTGTTTGAGAAATAGATTTGGGCTTTTGCAAAATGACTTTGGAGTTGGTAGACTGGATATTTGAGACAGCCTCTGAGCCTGGATTTATTTATAATACAGCACAATTGTGTATTTAGAAAATGAAAAATGTTTTGGGATTTCAAATTACACTCTATGAGGCCATGTGAGATGTTTCTGTTCATTGAAAAATAGGCAGGGAAAGAACAGGGTGGTCAAACATGGCCAGAAGCCCCCTGAGGAATCCTGGATTGTGGTCGGTGGGGTGAGGGCAGCAGGCAGGAGGCTTTGCTGACCCTTTCCCAGGACATCTGTGGAGAAGGTGACTGATGTGGGGATAGTAGCCCTGGGCCTTTAAGGCTCAGAGCTGCTTCTCCCACCCACCCTTGGGGTTCTGGCCCCACTCCTCTCTCCCGTAGTCCTGTATGCTCCCCTTCTCCTTTACATGATTTCACCCCACAAACCAGAAGAGCTGGGTGGTTGCAAGAGCTCACTGAGTACTTGTCAGAAGAGCTCCTGGTTACACTGAGGGCAAGACCCACTCAGAGTCACCTCTGAGTCTGCAACTGACCAGTGTGAGCTACAGCCTGCACCCCCAGCCTCTGGGTCAGGCACCTTTGGCCATGAACTCCGTGATGATGTAGATGGGCTCCTCCGTGACCACTGCATGCAGCTTTACCAGCTTGTCGTGCTGCAGAGTTTTCATCAGATTGGCCTCTGCCAGGAAGGCCTCCACTGACATGCTCCCTGGCTTCATCGTTTTCACGGCCACCTTGGTGTGCTTGTTATAGGTGGCTGGAGAGGAACAGGGAGTAGGAAAGGTTATCAGAAGCCGCTGGTCTCCCCCCATGGCCCTGGAAGATCCAGCTAAAGATCTGTCTCCTTAGAAGGGTTCATCTCAGTCTAGAGAGGGAAGGGGAGTTGTGAGCTTTAGCCTCAGACAGATGTTATCTGGAAGATCAGTTCACAGCTTCCCAGCTGTGTGCACTTAGGCAAGTCATGTAACCTCTCTGAACTGTGACCCCTCACCTTCTAAGTGGAAATGATCCACATTGTCCTTGAAGGTCTATTGTAGTGATTAAAGAAGAACCTGAAAACATCAGATTCTCTCTCTCTTTCTCTCTCTCACACACACACAACCTTTGCTTTTTCACTCAACACACACATACTCCACTCCTGCTTTATCATGTCCATCTTGTAAATCTTATAATTGTTCATATTTCCATTTTGCCTTGGCTACTAGGAAGCTCTGAATTAGACTCGAGGTCTTCCTGCAGTAAGTCAAGAGCCTGATATATTTTTTGTTTTTAAACCTCATTATTCAGATAGTTCTTACCTTCCTTTCCATATTTTCTCTGCTATACTTTCTTATTCTTATGAAAGCCTGGCACACAGCAGGCTCTCAATAAATGTAGTTGAAATATGTGGATTTAAAACTTATTTTATCTGGCTGAATTGTTTGCAATTCTATAAGCTGCCTTCCTTCCCATTTGAAACATGGTGGAGTTTTAACATAACGGGGTGCACCAGGCACTGGGCCAGGTAATGGGAACCCTACAACTCAGCAAAGTAGCCATCATCATCATTGGGACCAACAGGCTGCTCAGAAGTTTCCAAAGTGGCGTACTGGTTAATTTGAGTTGAAGGCAATTGAAAAACAGCAGATCCAAGGATGACATTTTGCTCAATTACCTATCTCCATTAAAAAAAGGAAATAAAGCATCTCTGCAGTGGTCCTGGAGGTAAGAGACAGACTTATCACCCCAGACTAGGGCTTGCAAGCTCTGTTTTCCATGTAGGTAGTGCAAGCTGAATTTCCCTACTCTTAGTTTCATCATCCTAGAAGGCCCCTGGTTGTGTCAATCCCCAACTGGTGGGCTGGCCCAGCTCCTTGAGAGGGAGGGGATATCTCATCCCAGATGCTCATCCCAGGAGGAAGTTTGACACCAGTGGGCCTGCTCTCAAAGGCAAATCAGTGTTTGCTTGGCAGACAATTTGGTTTGCTATCAGAGGAATGACTCCTTTATGGTTATTATTCAAACCCCACTTCTGCCCTCTTGGCCTGCATTCCCACTTGGATGCAGGCTATTCCAGGAAGCAGAGGCTTCTCTTTTCCCTCCCTCCCTTCTCCCCTCCCTGCCTCTTCCCTCTGGCTCTGGGTCCTTACCCATCCAGACTTCCCCAAACTGCCCAGCTCCAAGTTTCTTCTCCAGTTTAAGGGATTCCCGGGGGATCTCCCAGGCATCTTTCTCCCACGGCTTCTGAGGCTTGGAGGACACGCAGGGGACTGTCAGTTTCTGGCAGAGTCCATCACTTCCCTCTGGAACAGAGTCTCCAGTCAGTTGAGGGCAGCCAGCTCCGAGCTGGCTAGAGACTTGAGACTTCCCCTCAGACGCCTCTCTGCCTGGTCAACTGATGGGGCCAATATTCCAAAGGGCTGCCACCATCAGGGACATTCTCAAGAGAGCAGAGCACTCTGGGATACCACTCTGTCTTCTTTCTCAACCAGTTTCAGGAGAACCCAGGATTCCCCAGAGCCAGGCCCACCCAGGTTGGGATGTGGCCCTGGGCAGGACTCACTCTTGTAGTGGGCCACCAGCTCCTGCAGGGTGCTGAAGGTGCTCCGTGGGGAAATGTAGAAGCCCCCACTGTCCAGGGTCCGGATCTTGTAATGTTTCACCGCGTCCCTGTGCTGGGGGTCGTAGTCTCGCACGGACAGAGAGTAGCTCCCTGGATTGGCCAGAAAGAAAGCACTCAGGGATGGGACCTCAGAGGTCTTTAGCCTCATTTCAGCAGCCTGACCCCCAGGAAAGGCCACCGCTGGCACTGTCCGGGCACCTGGGCGCTGGAGTACGAGGGTGAGGCTGGAGTCAGGCTGCTGGGTTCTCATCCAGGCACCTCCATATCTAGCTGGAACAAATGACTATATCACCTCTCTGTGCCTCAGTTTCCTCATTTGTAACATGGTAATAGTCATCATACTGCTCTACCTCATCACATTGCTTAATGATTAAAAGAAGCAATACTTATAAAGTACTCAGGAGAGAAGCACTCATAAATGCTGGCTTCCATCACCTCATTGCCTGTCTATCTGTGTCTATCTATCTATCTATCTATCTATCTATCTATCTATCTATCTATCTATCTATCTATCATCATCATCATCTATCTAACATGGTCAAAAGGGATTTTGCAGATGTGATCTGTTAAGGATCTGGAAATCAGAATATCCTGGATTATCCAGGTGGAACTAATGTAATCACAAAGGTGCTTATAAGAGGGGTAAGAAAGTGGGAAGTCAGCAGCAGGGGTAATAAAGTGTGGAGATGGATACAGGAGGTGGGAGAGATGTGAGTGAGGGCCATGAGCCCAGGGACGCTGGTGGGCTCTAGAAGCTCAGAGACAAAGGAAATAGATTCTTTGCTGAAGACTCCTGAAGGAACCAACCTTGCTGACACTAATTTGAGCCCAGTGAAACTGTTTTCAGACTTTATCTTGTTTTAAGTCACTAAAAGTGTGGTAATTGTTCCAGTGGCAATAAGAACCTAATGCACAGGACCTCACATAGAGCAGAAACACATGGTCGTGCAGTCCACAATCACAGTTCTGTCATGTTTTTAACCTAAATCTGCAACAATGGGACTGAGGAAGCCCCCAAATCAGGTTTGGGTGAAGGGCAGGAGAAGATCTGGCAGCCATGGTGGGCTGCTGGAGTTTTTCAGCTTCCTCCAGGGCATCTGGAGAGGGAGGGGGTTGTGCCAGTCACCCTGGGGCACCCTTGCAGGGTGGGGGGTGTGAGATGGGGGTAGGGGTCAGGGGAGGGCTGGGTCACCTTTGGTGGTCTCGCTGTCCCGGATCATGAAGGAGCCCAGCACATTGCCAGGGGCCAGGAGGTGGCGCTCTGCATCCTTCCGGCTGATGCCTTTGAAGAACCACCTGGTGGGAAGGGGTGGGGGTGGCATGTGAACGCGTGGTGAGTGGTCCTGTCCCACTCACTTTGGATACCTGGGGCTGGTTTCCTGTGGCATCAATGTTCCTCAAAGATGCTTTTGGAGAAAACAACCATTCCTTTGATATTTCTATCTTTGAAAATGAGATTTGTTGTACATTAAATAAGTTAATTATAGTTTAAGCCAAAGCATCTGAGCAGGGGATCTGGTGGTGGCCTTGCATATGCTCACTTGCTGTAGATAGTATTTGCATATTTTAGTCATCCATAGGCCCAAGGAGGCCCCAACTAGGAAGCAACCTAAACTTACCACCACCAGCCTTTTACATGAATCACATCACATCAGAATCAATGGACATGTATTTTTTACCTAATGCAAGTATATAATGCATTAAATGTATTTATGCATATATGTGTGTGTGTGTGTGTGTGTGTGTGTGTATATATATATATATATATATATATATATAGTCTCATAATTACTCAAAATCTAGGGTTGGAGAGTTTGCATTCTCCACCACTCACCACATGCCCAACTGAGCATGCTCATCCGGTGTGAGGAGGAAGCAGTGTCTTTCTGCTGGCTGCAGAAATTTACAGATCTGTATATACAATATTTTGTCCTGCAAACTCCACCCTTTTTGGAGGGAGGGATAAGTTTTCCTCCTTGTTCTCTAAATAGGAAAATCTGGTAATACTTCAGTTAGGAAGACATAAGAAATAGTGTCCCAGAAATGCAAATCACACTTGTAAAAGAAAACAAATTTCATCCAAGGGTAGAGAGGAAAAGAAAACGGGAAAGCCTATGAATGTTTAGACTGTTCTTTATTCCCACTGTAAATCACAGCAATATGTTCAGTGAAACTGCAACTGGCCATCATTTTACCAGGCCAACAGGCATTTTATCAGGTGTGACTCCAGTATGCTGAAATGGAAATTAATGCATTTTGGGGAACTTTCTTTAAGAAAAGCAGTGCTGCATTACAAATACCAAATGCCTGTGGGTCATTCCAGCCTCACCCAATGTGATGGATAAAGTGATGGACAGAAACAAGGTGGAAAGATACAGCAGTTATAACCAATTGTGGTCAAAATCTTACTTTTGCAAATTTCATAAGAACACAACCTCTCAGTGAGTCCCAGGGCAAGTCAGGGTTCAGTAGGCAGCTTCAGGAACAGTGCAGGCAGGGGCTTCGGGAGAATTAAAGAGGCTTCTGAGATAAGGGCAGAGAAATTCAGGAGGGCTAATGAGGGCAGTAAATTTTAAAGCTAAAATTTGAGGCTAATTGGGACAGTAAATTTTAGGAGACCTTGGACAGGGAAGGTAAAAAGAGAAACTCTAAGATAAGAGCTGGGAAAATGGGCACATCTTCCTGGAGGAGTACAGCCACTGGGGGGAAGAGCCAATCACAAAATAGGATTAGATTTTAGAATAGAGGGGAAAATGGTTTAAATATCCCTATACACAGGCCCACAATGGCTTCCTTGCCCCTCCCAATGACACTTTCTTCCTTTAAATAAATTTTACTTTCTTAAACAAAGTTTGTTTCTCTCTGCTTACTTATCTAAAATGTCTGCAAATTCCTTTTTATGACTTTGTGGGACAAGAACCTGTGGTGGTTCAAGGGCTAAATTAACAGTGCATACCAGCTTCATCAGGATCTTGGAGCCTGGACTTCATTAACTTCAGAGACAAATATAAAGCTGGCAAGAATTTCTGAGCTAAAATATGAAATTTCAGATAATTTTATACTTGGATCCATATCCTTGGGCCTTTCTTTCTCCCTGAGTGTTTATTCTGGTGGAAAAGGTCAAGCAACAACAGCCAAACCCATTCCCACCCTTCCTAGAGTGAGGAGTACTTTATGTGCTATGACTGGAAAGCCCCAGAATGGAGGTCAGCAGGACTTAAACCTGCCATAAAACTGCTGTGTGACTTTGAGCAAGTCACTTTCCCTCTCAGGGCATCTGTTCCTCTGATATCAACTGGGGATAAAAACAGTTAATAATCATGGCGTTCTTATGATCTATCCAACAACTATAAAGTTGTCTTTGTTACCCAAAATGAAGAAATCGAGGGTCAGAGAGTAACTAACTTGCCTGGTGTCACAGGTGAGAAGCGGTGGGGGCAGGATTCAAATCCATCTACCCTAGAGCCCAAGTTCTTCACCATATCTCCCTGCCCAGCTTACTAACTGCAATTCATTCTGTAAAGTGGTTCTTGCATGAGAAGTATCCCCCAAGGTTAAAGACCACGCAGTAAGAACCATGTCCCTGGCAATTCCACCCTAGGAAGCTGTCCCACAGATCTAGCAGGAAGACATAACATATACACTAGGAGATTCACGGCAGCTGGAGACTGGAAGCCACTTTAGTGACCACTGATGGGGCAGGGGGCTTCTATGTGATGGACATTTCACAGCTAAAAAAGAAGGATGCTGTCTAGGAGATCTGGACAAAAGGTATAGAACAGTATGTGTAAAAAAATGGGGAGATGTGTATACTTTCTTATAAGATTACAAAGCACTCGGGAGCACTCACAAGAAACTGGGGAGGGGAGCTAGCTTCTGCAGAGGGGAAGTGGCCTGCTTCTGCAGAGGGGAAGTGGCTGGTTGGGGTCTGGGTGAGAGAAAGACTTTGCACTCTTTATTCTATATCTTTTGGGATCATTTACACTTTAAACATTTGAAAGTATTGCCTATTTCAAGGTAGGGGAGGAAGTTAGATTCCATCCCTGTGAATCCTGTGCCTCTTCCTCCTCCCCAGAGGAGCCCCAGGGGGGCTCCTGTTACCAGTTTCTTGATGCAGAGACAAGAAACCTGGGAGGCCACTGCAAGACTGACCCTTGTATTTGAGTTTGCAGGACAAAATTGTTGCTGGTTGCTGGTTCTCAAGATAGGTCCCTGGACTATCAGCATCAGCCTTACCCTAAAACTTGGCAGTAACACATTTGGGGAGTAGGGCCCAGCCTTGGGGTGATGCCGAAGTGCTCACATTTGAGATTTACCCAGTTAGGTTTTTGTTTGCAAATTATAATGTAAGGTACAGTTGCCTGCCCCTGCCTTTTCCTTTAGCAATTGTGTTGCCTTTGAGGAGTAATATTAGCCTAAGCTGCTGCTAGGGGAGGAATAGGGATTCTGTCATGCTGAGGCCCGAGTCGGGGAGCAGCTGAGTGACCCCCCACCAGCATGTAGGGTATTTGGGGGGAGGTCCAGGACAGAAGGGTAGGCAGGGAGAGAGGGGGCTTCTTTACCACCATATGAGGGGAGATTCCACAGTGTAGAGAAGTTTCATGTGCACTAAGAAGGGGATGACTTCAAGGTGGGCAATTTCCAAACATTTTAATTTGTAACGGGCAAGCATCCCAACATACCATCCAGGCAGAGGGAGGAGGCAGAGGAGAGAAAACCATGGGTACTGTCATTTTTCAACATTTTGACTGGTTCTGAATTGGCTCTATTGCCAGCCTAGAAGTCATCTTTTTAGTTGTCAGTCTCAGCCACCACACTGTGAACTTCTCCAGAGAGGAACACTAGCTGAGTCATCCGGTCCCCTAGGAATGGGACGGGGGTGGGGGGGCAGTGGGTGTTCCACAAGTGTCTGTGGATGATGGGATGGGTGGATGGATGAAGTATAACTGTTTATGTTTTCAGACTCAAGCTTGACAAGAGGAAGAACCTGCAGCCAATGAAGGGGTGCTCCTTGAAGGGAAGGGGTATGTCTTATTCATTCTTGCAGCCTCCTGCCTGGCACGGGACTTGGTGAGGAACAGGAACATATTTGTTTTATGAAATCAATGAGGGATGATTGGCAGGTGTGGGCTGGCTCACCTCCCAGAAGACCCTCCTTGGCACAACCATATAGTTATGAATATGAACACACATAATAATATGAACACATATTATTGAGCACCTGCTGCAGGCCTGTCTGTGCCTCGGATGCAGTTGTGGACAGACAAGATGCCTGCCCCATGTGCCCACATCCTAAGTGCAGGGGTGGGGGGGGCAGGGGAGGCAATGAGCATGTGAATAACCAAAGAAACAAGATCATTTTTGCTAGTGAGAGGTGTTTAGAAGGGTCGTCCTATATGATTCCATTGAGTGAGTCAGAGGAGACCCACTACCCATCAAACAAATAGCCCTAGGAAGAGTGTGCCAGGCAAGGGAGAGAGTGAGTGCAAAGGCCCTAAGGCAGGAAGAAGGCTGGTTTTACTCAGGCTTCCTTCTGGAAGGCAAGAAAATGGAATACTTACTCTTCTGTCTCCAGAGAGTTAACACGTGCAACATAGTTGCTTGGGATGTAGCCCTCTTGCCGGGTGGCCAGGGATTGAGCCTTCCACCACTCCCCGGACCTGAGGGATAAGACAGAGCAAAAGGGTCAGGGGGCAGAAGGAGTCCCCTTGCCCCCCCCCCCCACCGGCCATGACCCTGAATACCTCCCAACTCCAAGGAACCAGTAGGGTGAGGATCAGGAACACAACTGTACTGGCTCCAGCATGCACCCCATAATTAGAACAGAGATCTTAACAACAGTCTCCACTATGCATCAGAGGTTCTAGAATCAGGCCCTGTCCCTGCATTAAGAGCCCGCAGTCCTTTGCTCTGGACTTGGCCTTAGTAGTAGCCATATTCAAGGTGGGGCCCTGTGCCCATGGCAGACTCACAGTGAGTCCGCTGGACCAGAGTCAGAGATAGTGGGCTCAGAGTCTGACCAAGCATAACCACCCCCATTTTAAGGCCCCAGCACATACTGGACACCTCACTGTGGGAGGTTGGAGATGGAGCTCAGGGATCAGAACTGCAAACTCTACAGGTTCTAGTCCACAGGTAAGCCTGTAGCTTAGTCACCAGAGCCCAAGGAAGGCTTCCCTGGCAACACTTCTACCTGTGCATCCTGCCTGGCCATGCACCACCAGTAAGTGCATCTTCACTGGCCGTGTACCATCAGTAAGTGCACAGGCCCCTTTGTTATGGCTTTCACCCGGGTTAACAGCAGCCCTCCCTCCCCTAGAATCAGGTTCTTATTAGTCATTTATACCCTAGCATAAGATAGTCTATCAAGTCCTTTACTAAAGCACAAAAGAGAATATATTTGGAGAATAAAGTAGGCTTTCTTAGGGGGAGTGGGTGGGGACTTACTCCTCCAGGACTACCATCTGATCCCCCTTCTGGAAACTGAGGTCTTCATGGTGAATAGCTTCATAATCATATAGGGCGACCACGATGTCCTCAGAACCTAGGGGGAGAGAGACACGTGGGAGGGAGAGGCTTTATCTGCCTACATCTACACACTGGGAGTGCCCCATCCCAGCACCCAGCCCCAGAAGTGCTGACATGTCTGTAAACATCTGGCCATGCTGGCCTCCATCCTTGTTCTTAAAGCTAACAGTGTTTTATTCATGTCACTAGACAGTGTTACAGAAACGCAATAACCTGTACGAAGTACTCTGGGGGGATTTTCAAAGGCAGTTTTGACTTTTTGGGATTTTTACCTCAAGCTCTAACCTAATCCTCCACATAACACAAGGCTCCACTGCGCATGTTTGCCAGATACTTACCCTCTGGGGACCCTGGTGAGCTGCCGCTACTATTAGGCCCCTGTGGGGGAGAAATGGAGAAAGGGATGAATCTGATAGTGTGTGGTACCTCAAAAGGTCTGTGTTGAATGGATATCCAAGAGCATTTCATCATAGCCCTGTGTGTCATGGGAAGAGGCCCAGAGAAGGTTTGGGCTGTGCCTGAGGTCACACAGCATACCAGGGGCACAGCCAGGCCAAGAATCCAGGTTTCTTGAGTAATAGGCTCTGCCCTCAGCCTTGGATATCATGGGGAATGCTGGTTTGTCCTCCTTGACATACAGTGAGGGGACTGAGCCACATCTGGGTTTTCCAAGGTATGTATGAAGAAACCCTGGAGCTTCCAATATTCCCACGAATAAAGGTTCTGTTAGTATGCGAAAGAGCTGACAAGTGCATCTAAAGGGGAAATGACATCTAAAAAAGGCACCCCAAACAGTTCTTATAGGAGGGGGGGACAAACTTCATTCCTGACACAACTAGACCTCAAAGATATATTGTTGAGTGAAGAAAGCTGTTTCTTCAGCATTATAAATATAATAGATTCAGATAAAATGCATACACACCTCCCAAACACCTTCTGTGGACACATACTATGTGTCAGTGTAAATTCATGGGAACTGAATTTACCAATTCACCAAACTGACAATAGTTGATACCTCTGGGAAGGGTACACTGGTCAGAAGAAGCTCTATCTTTCCCTGTAATTTGTGGTTATTTTCAAGGAAAATCACATATATAAGTGAAGCACTAATTTAAAGAAACAGTTTTGAGAAACCCTGAGAAGTACATCCTTTTGGAGAGAGTCACAAAATCCATTACAAAGATTCATAAAGGGCCCCCACAGGGAAGGAGCCTAGTGTTTCTCAAGCAAATTTGACCTGGGAACTTTCTCTAAGGAATCTCATTAATTTACTGCAGAACTAATACCCTATAAGAGAGAACAATGAATGACTGACAGTGACATCCCTTAAAACTGGTGAAGAAAACTCTTAACATCTATCTGGTGACAAGTTAGAGGGAACATGAGAACCTGGAGCCCTGGCCATGGAAAGGCCCCAGGGTCATGCAGTTCAAGAAGAGGCAGACCAGGGCATGATTTCGGGTTTAGGATATTAGCTTAGTTACCAATGTGAGAAATTCATGTAATCTCAGGTTGTATTAATAGAGGTCATGTGTCAGAGGGAGGAAGGTGACTCTTCTACTATTTTCCCATTTCTAGAATGATTCCTGCTCTAGGCATCATATCTGGAGAATGGCAAGCAGGATGGAGAAAGGTCAGGAATCCAGGTCCTGTGAAAGATGCTTTGGAAGGAATGGGTATGTTGGGATAAGATCTTTGCTTTCAGTCTCTCCAGGCTGTCATGGGACAAAGGGAGTAAATGTGTTAGGAGCAGGGCTTAGGGGTAGGTTTGGGATCAAGGAGTAAGGGCAATTGGATAATAGAACTCTCCTCAACAGAGTAAAAACTTTCTATGCCCTCCTCACCCCCTCCTGGGGAAGGAGTGCACCCCAGCTTCTGCAGGCAATAAGCACAGCCTCTGCTTCACCTGGAGAAGCTCAGTTAAGGGAATGGACTGAAGGACAGCAGAGTATAAAGAACCCCACCCTTGGGCTTAGAAAGACCTGGTTTTCCCACTCACTTCCCGGCTGTGTGACCCCTGGGAGCCATGAGCCCTCTTTGAGCCTTAGCCCACTCTGCTGTAAAGTGGTGTAACTCCTGGCTCACAGCTTCTGGTGAGGATTAATGATGTGGAACTCCTTCATTCAGTGCCTGGGACACAGTAGTTTGACAAATGGTCAGGATGATTATGACTGTTACGGCTGCTCTGAGTTCTGTCATTGCCATTGCTCGAACTGTCACTGTTGACACCACGGTGCTGTTTGGTGCTGCTGCATGACAAGCAGTGCTGGGGGCTGTGAGCTGCCATTACTTCTGCTACTGACACCTCCATGCTCACTGCTCATCATTAGCACGTGTTCCTGCTCCTTCCACCAGCACTTGGAATCTGCACTGCCCAAGTTTGAATCCAGGCGATCCCCCTTACTAACCAAGTGGTTTTTGGAGAGTTATTTGATCTTTGTGACCTACAATAGGAGTCTTAGGAGGATGAAAGGTGCTAGTAACTGCAAAGTGTTTAGGGTAGTGCTTGGTTCATCATCAGCTCTCGGTAAGCACAAGATAAGTAAGTAAATATGTCTACCAGTATCACCACTGCTTGGCTACTTCTTCTATTGGTCCTGTTGCTGATGCCTAGACTCCCACTAGCATTGCTGCTTTGTTACGATGACAATTGTTGTCACAGTTATTGCCAGGAGGTGGAGACCACCATTAAATTACTGTTGGTGCTGCTCTCTGTTCTGGCCTGGTCACTCACTGTTCTCAGCACTGCCTATGCAACCATGGAGGCCTGAGGCTGCCAGGTTCTCTCCCACCTGGTCACTAGAGCCCAGGGTGATGGGCCAAAACTTGGGGGGCAGGGTAAGAAGTGAGGTCCTTGACTCGGGGGCTGGGTGCAGATATATTCTGGAGAGGTAGGGTGCTGTGGGTAACTGCTCAGCCTCATTTCATCCAAACACACCTTGCTCAACTTTGAGAAACCAGGAAGTTAGGACAATTGAGGGGCAGTCCCCTAGCCCCACCCCAGCTGCCAGTCCCTCTGTGCTCCCCAACTCACCCGCTTGCTGGACGACGTGGGATCAGGCACGTACAAGGGACTGTGCGGATTAGCACTGGGAGGTGTTTTCAAGTTATTGCTTCTGTCCGGGAAGAACTTGGACTTCACACACCCCATCCTGTTGCAGAGAGAAGGGAGGTAAGCCCGGAACCCATGAGGTCCACATGGGGGAGTCTTCAAGGCTGGATCTCAAGCCCCCCGGCCCAGTCTGGCTCCCACTGCCTTCCCTGTCTTCCCTCCCTGCCAGCCCCACTCACCCCACCCTGGCCACGCAGAGCTCACTCTGCCCAGGGACCTCTGGTTCCCTCATGTCCAGGTCTGTCACACTCTCACAGAGCCACACATTTCACAGTCATGCAGCTGGGGCCCCTGTGAAGGGGAGTTTACTCAGAAAATAAATCACAAGGATAATTGAAATTCAACAGGGAGAGCTGACAGCACAGAATGGGTTGGTGAGTGCTTCTGGTTCTTGGTCAGAAATCCTGAGTTAACACTTGCCCCTCCCACCTCCCCAGCTCAGCTCCTTATCAGCAATATGGGGTAATAATAAAACCTACTGGCAGGTATTGGAAGAGGGAAAGCATGTGTGGTAGTAAATACTCTGTATGGAGTCAGGCTCCAGGCGACTGGTTAAGTAAAATCATACTGTTATGTATAATAAATTACCATTTTATATTAAATGACGAAGATGAGGTCACATAACAATCTAGCTAAATAATAATCAAGGCATCCTATCCTTTGTATCAATTTAAAATTGCCTTATAACAACTTTCTCCTCTCTCTCCTCTCTTCTTTCCCTTCTTTCTCACATGGATTTGTTTGGTCATCATTCATTCATTTACTGAACATTTTTACCACAAATGAGACAAGTTTATGTCCTTATGGAGCTCGCAATGGAGAAGAATGGGGGCCACAGACAATTAACAAGTTAAATTCAGTCAGTGGAAAGTGTGGGACAATGAAAGAGAATGTGATAGGGAGCAACTATACGGGGTCTTTTTAGACAGGGGGGCTAGGGGAGGCCCCTGAGATGATGTTGACCTGGGCCCTGAATGACACAAAGGAGCCAATCAGGTAACACTCTGAGGGAGCAGTGTTCCGGGCAGAGAGAAGAGCAAGTGCAAAGGTCCTGAGGTTGGAATGTGCTTGGGGAGAACAAGGCACTGAAAGGCAACCAGCATGACTGGAGATCACAAGCAAAGGCGAGGATGGTATGTGACAAGGCCGCCACACTCTTGTGAAGAATCTGGATTTGATTCAAAGGATGATGGGAAATCATGGCAAGGTGTAGGCAGGAGAATGAAAGGATTCAGTCAGCACTTTCAGTAATTCCACTGACTTCTCTGTGGGATGGAATGCATGGAGAAGGGCAGGGAACCCTGTATATTGCAGTGGCCAGGCCTGAGCAGGTGGTGGTCTGGCCCCACGGTGGTGGCTACTGGGAAAGTAAGAAGTGAAAAGATTCGAGGGATAGTTTGGAGGTAGAGCTGACAGACTTTGCTGCTGGATTAATAAAATTTAAGATGCTTAAAACATGTCTACCTAACTAGAGTCAAAACTTAATTATAAAAGCAGAAGAATTGTTTCATTTCTTTCTCAAAATGTGTACACATATTTGCTGAGAAGACAGGCTGGGCCCTGTCACATAAGGAAGTGATTGCTTTCCTCATTTCTGCAGAATTACAATTTTCTTCTAAAAGCAGTTAGAACTCAGTTACACTTATCTTGTTAACATAAATATGTGTTTGTAGTTTAAGAAAAAAAACCTTGCATTCCTAGATTTAGGGGAGTTATTTTAAAAAAATGCTTGTTTTTATTCACAAGGATGTTTTTGTCCTGGTGGGAACTGGGAACAATTTACCACCTCAAACCTGAAGCAGTTTCTTCAAATGAAGTTTCTACTTCATTTGCCTTTTGTGAATAAAATCAGAACTGATTCGGACTCCTGGAGTGCTGGCTTATTAATTTGAAAAATTATTGCAATTAATTAATGCTTTATAATGTACTTGTGTGCATTTAAAATAGAAACACTTCTGTTTGATTTGAGATAAATGTGTATCACCCTTCTGGGAAATAAAGCATACAGTGTAGTTTTGCATGGCATAAAATATTACATTTCATAGATTTTTAGCAACATCAGGGTGTTCTGAGAAAGCCATTGCTGTGTGATGTAAGGCAGTTCTGGCCACCTCTCTGAGCATTTATTACTTTCATTATGAATTTACGTATTCAAGAGAGTCACGGGGCACTGAGGGGTGGTCTCTGAAAGCCTTCTGTTGACTCGGTGCGAGGGAATCTCTGAGAAAGATGGCAGTGTTCATCTGCATGGGGTGGTGGTGAGAATGGAGTTGATAAGTATAAGGGTGCTCACACAGCGTGTTCTCCGGAGGTATTAACCACAACTATTTCTGTTTACCAGCAAATGTGGCACTTCTCTGGAGCATAAAGAACACTTTGCAATTCACTTGGTTTATAAGTGTAGAGATACTGTAACACTTGATAAGTTAATGTTTTAAAATAGGGAATTCCCTATTTTAAATTTTAAATTCCCAATTTTTGCAAAATAAAATGTGAATTTTTTTAAAAAAGTGATATACCAGCAGGAGTCAAATTTGCATAAAATGTGTTTGTTCCTCAGAAAAAGCTCATTTTTATGACCACTAGATCTAGAAATGTATTGAGTCACATTGTAATTTAAAATTTCCTACAGTCATATCTTGAAAGTAAAAATGTAAATTTTATGATATATTTATTTTTCCCAATATGTCAAAATTATTAACACATAGTATAAACATTATCATGAAATACATCTTTTCTTCATACAAAGTCTTCAAATCCTAGTATGGAAAAATTAGAAAATAGGCACTTTCTTTATAGAAGGATTGTTATTATAGATGTAGATGTAGGAAGCTGGAGCCATCCTCATATCATGTAAGAAGGGGATGCCTTTCAGTGACGCCACACAGACGAAAGTAGACTAAGCCATGGAGACAGAGTGATCTCCACAAACACGTCCAAGCGCTCGGATCTAGTTGTGCCTTCAGCTTTTCAACCTCAGAGTTTTTCTAGATCATGAGAAGATACATTCTCAATTTTGCGTAAGTCAGTTTAAGTGTATTTCTGCTACTTGCACCCGTTACAGTCAGGGATGGGGGACATGGGTCATTAGGCAATGTCACTGCTGTGTGAAAGTTATGGAGTGTAATTATACAAACCTGGGTCAGAGTCTGCTGTATACCTAGGCTCCAGGGGATAGTTCTCAGGACCTCTGTGGTATATGTGGTCAACAGTTGACATAAATGTGGTTAAGCAACACCTGTAGTGTTGCTGATGCTTGTATATTCCTGCACTGTAGTTCTTGCTGATGCGTGTATATTCCTGGACCACACTCTAGACTGAACAAACCAGTTTCTGGGGATGAGAGCCTGGAATATGCATTTCTAACAATTCCTCAGGAGGCTCTTAGAGAATATCAAAGGTTGAGGCCCACCACAGTAGTGAGATGAGGGCTGAACTTGGGGTCAGGATGCTTGGGTTTGGATCCTGCTTCTGCCACTGATTGACTAAGTGACCTTGCATGAGTCACTGTCCCTCTTTTTTTTCCTTAAAGATTTATTTATATATACAAGAACTGGGGTACAGGTCAGAGGCACAGGAAGGTGAGAGGATTCACCAGAGACACAGTGGGGAACAGAACAGGCAGACTGACTGAAATACACTGCTGAGGGGAGTAGCGGGTGAGTCAGGAGAGATCTGCTGCACCATGTGGGTAGCTCCGTGGCCGGCCGGGGTTCGAACTCGTGATGCAGAGGCTGTGGATAGCATCATAGGTTGTGTCTTAACCCCTTGCACCACGAGGGAGGCCCTCACTTTCCCTCTTTTAAGTCTCATTGTCTTCCCTATAAAGTAAGAGGTACTTGCTTCTCAGGCTTGGCCTGAGGTCCTGTGCAATACGGATGTGAAAGGCTTTGAAGAAACTCTGAACATACACTTCTACTTGTTTAATGTGGTTAAAAATTAGATTATGAGAACAGAAGTGGCTTCCCAGGCCTCAGGCTAGTTTAAAACTGCTGATCCATGCAGATACTTCTTTAGGTCACTGCAATGTGCTGGAACCTGAAACCTGTTCCTTGACCCCGGAGCTTCTTCAGGCTTTGCATAAGGGAGGGAAATGAGAGCATCAGCCTGGCTGCTTCCCCTGGTCAGCATGCTGGCTGCTGAGGTCGAGAGATAACTCCTGCACCCCCAGAGTGAGGTCCAAGGAACAGAGGCCAGGGCCCTGCCAGAGATGGTTTTCTGGGAGATTTTAGGCTCAAGTTAAGGCTTGTGAGGGTAGGGGTGAGGAACACCTGACCTGGTCCCACCTCTGCCACAAGTTTGCTGTGTGACCTCAGGCAAGTAACAACCTCTCTCAGGTCCCCATTTTTTCCAGATGTGAAGTGAGATGTTGGGTGATAAGTTCTCTGAAGGGGACACTTAGTGTTCTTTCTTGTGTAGCCTCTTCACCCCCTTCTTTTGAAAATAGCTTCCCATTGTTCCTTTATAAATCACCTCTCCCCCATTCATGGACCAAGGGAGACTAGGCTTCAACTCCTGGCTATTAGGGTGGGCTGTAACTAAGTCTGGTCAATCAGAGTTCAAGTAACAGAAGAAGGGATGGGCCTGTGATTTAGTCCTGATCAATAAGCATCATCTATTTGGTTGGAAAAGAGACTCATGGCTGTGGAGAAGAGTAAGAAATGTGGAAACAAATTTCCTTGACTGAAGCCAATGTGCTGGTGGACACTTCAATAACCTCCCTCTTCTGTTTGAGCCAGTATAAGTTGGATTTCTGCCCCCTTAAGACTCAAAGAGTTCTGCCAGTGCAGAGGAAATTCTTACAAGGGATTACAATTCACATTCAAGTGTAAATAACTTAAGGCAAAGGCTTCCTAAATAGCAAGCTTGGATAGAAGGTACTAGACTTATTAGAGTAGGTGAGGGTATGTGGCATATAGGCCTATGAAGCTGCTGGCACTGAAACCATGGCTGGGAAGCACCTGGCATGTATTATGCCTGCCAGACATTTGTGGAGCGAACGTACAGTGTTTAGCCCTCTACAGGCCTACTGTACTTGGC